TTTTCTTTTTGTTTAAAGTATTTTTTGATGTGCTATTATGAAGTGTTTCTAAGCAGAGGAAATTAAGAATTGCTCTAAGCTTGTGAGGTAATGATAATTTAGTTAGCTTGACTGTAGTAATCATGTCACAACATACGTGTACTTAAAAACATGAGATACCTTGTATACCTCAAAATATATGATTTTGTCAAGTATACCTAATTTAAAAAGAAAAACATTGCTAAAATCTAATGATGGAGAGAAGAATTGTAAATGCAAGCAGAATAAAAAAAAAAAAACATTACATACAGACAACAAAGATAAGAATGAATGCTAATTTCTCACCAAGAGCAATGAAAGCCAGAAATCAGCAGAATGGTATCTCTGAAGTGGCGTAAGAGAAGAGGTGTCAACTTGGGATTCTATATCCAGCAAAAAGAGTCCTTCAGAGTGTTGGAGGCTGGTGTGTAGCTCAGGGCTGCTGCACTTGCACAGCAGGTGCTAGGCCCTGGGCTTGAACTTCAGAACAGGAAACAAAAAAGGTATTTTCAGAAAAACAATAAGTGGAAAGTCCTCAAGATCAGTATGATGAACTCTATGAAATCAGAGGATGTCCTTCAAGTTGGTGGAAAGGGATATCAGCTGGGAGCTTTGATGAACACATAGGAATGATTTAGCCATGCCAAATAAAAAATAAATTAAAAAAATCAGAATAGCTGTAGAGCTACTGAGAAATTACATCTATAATTTAAAACCTTCTTGTGAAGACAGTCCAATCTTCCCTGGTGAAATTCACCATTTTTTTTTTTTTTTTTAGATAGGGTCTCACTCTGTAATTCAGGATGGTTTTAAACTCATTAGGTAGGCAAGGCTGGCCTCCTCCTGTCAGTCTCCTGAGTGCTGGGATTACAGGCGTGCACCCTACACCCAGCCTTATCAAATGTTTAAAGAAGAAGTAAAGGGAATGTGTCACAAACTTTTATGGAGGAGGAAGCAGTTCCTAATCTTATAAGGTGAAAGTGGGCTTGGGAAATGTTTCAGACTGCTTTAGGGTACTCGTCAGTGTTCATGAACCTTACAATTATACAATCTCCATAGCTTGCAGACCAGACCCAAACTGACGGAGGCCAGATTTGTGCCATGGGCCATACTTTGCCAGCCCAAAGGGTAAATAAAGCATTAGTGAGCTATGAGTAGTTTGATTTTGCTAAGGATTCTTTCTTGAAGTGGTAGAGCAGAGTGCTATATCTTACATTAGACAACAAAAATCTAATAAATATTCTGTTATGGGTTAGATCTGAAATGTTCCCCCCAAAACTCCCATGTCCAGAAGATGGGATTTCAGAAGATGACTGGATCAAGCTGGCTTTGACTTCATCAGAAGATGAATCCATGGGTGAGATCATAATTTGATAGCATTATTGGGAGGTTATGGGAACAGAAAGTGGGGCCTGGATATAGTGGGGTTGAACAGGAAGTTGAAGGAGATGGATCATGGAGGTGTGACCTTGACTATATCCGGTCCCTGATCCCCTCCTCTTGGGCTCTTTCCTGCTGCCTCTGCTTCCCAGCTGCCATGAGATGAACAACTTTATTCCACCATACCCTCTGCCATGATGTTCTGCCCGGCCACACGCTCAGCAATGGAGCCAGTGGACTATGGACAGAAATCTCTGATACCATGAGCTGAAATAAATCTTTCCTCCAGTAAGCTGTTTATGTCAGATATTTTGCCATAGTAACGGAGAGCTGACTAACATATGTTTCCACCAGTTGTTAAATTTCCAGTGGATGCCCAGGCATCTTTTTTGTTAATTTTCAGTTTACTTCATTTTATCAGAAAATGGATTTTGTATAATTTCAATTCTTTCAGGATTCTTTAGGCTTTTCATGGCTCTAAATACTGTCTATCTTGGTGAATGTTTCTTGTGAACACCTTGGATGGAGCATTTATAAATTCAGCTAGATCAAGTTCATTGATAGTGACATTAGATCTTTTATATCCTTAACTGATTTTCTGTCTTCTTGTTTCATAACCTAATTATAGCTCTGAACTATTATTTGTCAGTTTCTCCTTTCATTTCCATTCCTTTTGGCCTCATCTATATGGAAGCTCCTTTGTTAGGTGCTAGGAATTTAGGATTGTTGTGTGTTCTCGGTGAACTGACCCCTTTCTCAGTAAGTAACATCCTTTTCCATCTTTGTTAATGTTTGTTGTACTGAAGTCTACCGTGCTTGATGCTAATGCAGTCACTGTGGTTGTTTTCCTTAGTGTTTGGGTAGTATATCTTTTTCCTTCTTTTATTATATTGTACTTTACAATTTTGTGGTACTGGAAATAGAAATAGGGCCTCACACGTGCTAGGCAAGCACTCTACTACTGAGCTATATCTCCAGACCGTCATCTTATGCTTTTAACCTATATTTATATTCATATTTATGTTTGTATTTAAAGTGGGTTTCTTGCAGACAGAATTGGGTCTTGCTATTTTATCCCAGATGAAAACTGGGATGAATAGGTGCTAACTCCTCTTGTTTGTGGTATTCCTGGAAACTCTCCCACCACCCCACACTCAGCCTTTGGCAGTTCATTCACAATTTTAGTTGACTTCTTCCCGCTTGCGTGGTGCTTGACATTTCACCCTTCACTCCGCTGCCCATGGGCCCGGGCTTACACACGCTGCCTCTCCCTGGAGGTGCCTGACTTTCGTCAGCTGCGACCCTGGAGTTCTGACAAGTTCAAGTGAAGTTAGAGGTTTTGCAGACTATCCATTTTCGTCTTGCTGTGAACGCTCCTCTCAGTGCCTCTTTGCCTGCCAGAGCCTGGCCTTCTCCCCTTTCTCCTGTGCCTCTGCCAGCAGCGGCGCTCCTTCTTCACCCTCCCCTCCTGAGACTTGCACCCCAGCCTCCAATGTGCGCAGCCGCCGCCTCTGCTTAGACAAAAGCCTGTCTCTCTGCAGGCTGTTGGTCCCCTCTCGTTTGCCACTGGGCATCTGCTGTTGTCCTTAGTAGCCTGCCTTCCACCAGCCCCAGCCCGCACCCAGCTTCTCAGGGTTCTTTCATCCGCCGCTGCCTAGAGCACTGCCAAGGCGTGCAGTTTCCCAGGGAGGGCGGCTTTCGTGTCCCACGTGACCTGGGGAGGGGGCTGGAGTGTCCTTGCTCATGGCGCTCCAGCCAAGATTGCTTGATGGGTGTCTCGCCTGCTGCTTTAGAGCTTGAAAAGCCTTCCCTGTCAACTGTCCTCGTTTTGTTTCCTTACAACCCACACGAAGCATTCAATTATGTTCCCAGTTGTTTTTATTAGTGAGCGTGCTGTGGATATGTGTGTGTGTCAGCGCGGCAGAATTATTTCATTAATCGATCAGTTTCTCTCACCCCCCTTTTTTCAGTGCTGGGATTAAACCCTGTGCCTCACACATGCTAGGCCAGTGCTCTCCCACTGAGCCATGTCAACCCCAGTTTTTCTGTTCTGTGACTTATCATATTGTATTAATAATTTTGTTTAAACTGGGCAGAGTGGTGCAAGCTTGCAATCCCAGCTACTTGTGGGCTGAAGCAGCAAGATCACAGGTTCAAAGCCAGCCCTGGCAACTAAGTGAGACCCCATTTCAAAATAAAATGTAGAAAGGCCTGAAATTGTAGCTTAGTGCAAGAGTGCTTGCTTTGCCCACTTGAGGACCTGGGTTGTTTCCAGTTGGCCTCGAGAAGGGGAACAAGAGACACTAATTTAAGAATGGTACAGCCTGTTTATTCATAATAAGCATCCCTTGGGAAACCTGACTCTCCCCACCAGCAGTAAGAACTTTGAGTACAAGGGAGGAATACTATGGGCCTCTGGGAAGAGCCATGAAGAAAAGTTTGGGACCAATGGTCAGTTCCTAAATGAAGGGCATAGTGGGGCAGGTTGTGGTGGCCTCTTCTGGCGTTGACTGTACTTGCTGGGAGAACTTCCACCCTGAGGTAGGGCAGGATCAGGGTGCTGGGCACGAGTTCAGAGCTGCCTCAGAAGAACGCTTTTTGCCAGGGGTGGTGGCACACATCTGTAATCCCAGCACTCAGGAGGCTGAGGCAGGAGGATCATTACAAGTTCGAGACTAGCCTGGGCTACAAAGTGAGTACAAGGCCAGCCTGAACTACATAGTGAGACCCTGTCTCAAAAGAAGAAGAAGAAGGAGAAGGAGAAGGAGAAGGACAGGGGGAGGGGGAGGGGAAGGCTTTAATGGTGGGATTCTAGTACTTTATGTCCTTTGACTTTGCCCTTGAGCAACCTTGTTTATTTGTTTGTTTGTTTGTTTTTTTTTTTTGTTTGTTTGTTTGAGAGCAACCTTGTTTAGACTACGGCACGGAAGGGCCTCTAGTGCTGTTAGAAAAATCAGGCTTTCCTCTGGAAAGTTAATGAAGAACATCATAAATACTGAGGATGCCTTTCCTCCCTGGTAGTGGTGCCAATTTGGGCTGTGCCAGTTGCCAACAGAGCGTGATGCTATGGGAGTGAGAAAATCTTTAATTACTTGTGAGCAGCTGCCGAGGAGGCTGGCTGTCCACTGGAGGAGCAGCATCAACAGGAGACACTCAGGAATGATCCACTGTCCTTAAGCAGCCTCCCCTGGCTGTGACAGCCTCTGCACTGCCATCTAAGGGGCTGCCTGGGAGGTGACAGGTGACTGCCATACATCCAAGCTGACTACGTCACTGTCCCCCCATCTAAGTGCCATAGTGAAAATAAAACATGGTCCATAGAAATATAAAGTCACACATCCCAAACCCATAAAAATATTATGGATGGGGAGAGCAACTGTGTTCCTATGAACCAATCCTTTCTGTGCTCAGCCCTCTTAAATCTCACATGCACGCTGCTCTGTGAGGCGGCAGGGAGGTGCTCATGTCACCGCAGGTGCCGGTAGAGGGCACAGGATGAGGAGTTCCAGGGAAAAAGCTCCGTGGAAAGGTGCTCCACTAGGACGTACATCCCGCTGGGTAGTGGTTCTTGCCAGCTTTATCTGTTGCTGACTTTCTTGCAGCTAGAGGAGTGCATGGCGTACAGGAAGAGCACAGCAAAGAATTGGATCATGGAGCCAGGCAGGCTCACACTTTCGAGCAGTGAACGCGATTTGGACCGCAGGCAGAACTCCGTTTTCTGTTTCAGAGTCTGGGTTTCAATGTTGGACTATAATAAAAGTCTGAGGGAAGAAGAAGCGGCGAGGAGGACGAGGACGCAGAGGGCCATCTGTCAGTGGCAAGATAGACAAAGGAGTAAGTCTGACACCCCCAAATATCCCCTCCATGCCCACTGCCCAGAGGCGCCGCGGGAGTGCGGTGGTGCCTCGGCCGCACACCAGGGCCCCGAGTCTTGATTTGACAGCCCTAGCCGATCTCCTTACTGGTTTTAGTTAAGACCTCAAGCGAACCCTCCCTCACAGGGTCATCAGTTTCTCATATGAAAACTTTGCCTACCACTCACCCCCACCCCTAGCAAGTCACTCTTTCTGAAGGACAAAGCCTTGAGTTCGAAGTCAGGCAGCAGAGGGACTGAGCCCCGGGGGGAGGCGGGCAGGGGGAGCGTGCGGGGAGGAGCAGAGCCGCCGGCATTGGATGGAAGGATGCGCAAAGGGACAGCTTCGTACAAACTCCGTCTCCCAGCCTTTTCTTGCTCCACTCCTGAGCAGTGGAAAAGCTGGGGCTGAGCTCCTTGTGGCTGGGGGATGGGGTGCCTGCTGAGAGGGGCCAATGGTCCCTGGTCGGTCTCTAGTCCCTTAGGCAATGGAGGCTGCAGAAAAAGCAGGATAAGCGTCTTCTTTCAATGTAGTTCTTACATTTGGCCACCAGATGGCAACACCTCCATCCAAACAGAATTCGGATTGGGGAACAAAACTGTCGCTCATCCTGAGACATGGAGCTGCCCTGCGGGTTTCGGGTCTGGACTAGGGAGGAGTACTCTGACTGTCATGTAACTAATCCAGTTAAAGATCTATGTGCACCTATTTGTTCAATTAGCAGTCACTGAGAGCGTCCCATGTGTCCAGCCCTGGTCCGCGTTTGGCGATCCAGCTGGGATACAGGCATGAGCCACACCGGGAGCCCCCCCGCCCCCATCTTAGTAAGGCAGACAAACATTAAACAAAGAGTTACAGAACCACACACTCATTTCACTCGCGGTGTTACAGATGGTCAGTGTAAGGTGCTGTATGACCATGTTAACAGGAAGAATTTGATCTCAGCAAACATTATTTTGTTAAGAAAGCATCATAGAGCCTAACATTCACATATACCTACCATCACCTGTCCTGTAATATTCCTATGCTACAGTGGATGGACTCCCACAAACACCCCATAATGCCCCGGAAATACAATCCCATCACTGACTGGCTGCAGATCTTAACTACAGACCCAGTTCCACTTCCCACAACAGCTAACAAATGCCTTTACAGTCCTTCTTTATTGGTCCACAGTCCTTGTTGCAAATCTTACCGTTGCTTACCTCACTGGATTCTCTCATCAGATGCTCCAAGAACTCGTCTTAATCATCTTTGCCTTCACTATACCTTCCACTCTACCCAACAGCTAATCTATTCTTTCTTTCTCTTTTGGTTTTTTGGTTTTTCTCCGGTACTGGGAATTGAACTGACGACCTTGCACTTGCCAGGCAGGCGCTGTGTCACTGAGCTAAATCCCCAGCCCCTCTATTCTTGAAAATATTTGGCAAGCCAATGAGCGGATCACTCAGTACCCACGTCACACAGTCTGTCACAGGCCTGCCCTGGCCCCCATCCCGGAGGCAGGGTCGTGGCTCCCAGGATGGAAAGGTGCAGGCTCTTCTGCCTTCTTTTCTTTAGGAAATAGCCAAAACTGAAATGGCTCATGTCTGACCCCTTCCAGCCCCACCAACTCACACAGTTTTCTAGAAGGTAGGCCTTGGTCCTGGCGCTGACTTGGTCCGTGTCACAGCCGTCCCGGGATTAGTGGCCGCTTTTACCTCCTCCTCCGAATGTGCCAGGCTCCGAGTTCCTGTCCTGCTACCTGGTCCTTCATTCGGTAGTTCTTCGTCTCTCCTCTGAAAGGTCAGAGAACTCAGAAGAGAATCTCCTAGGGCTGGCAGAGACAGCGAGGGAACCAGCCAGCTCTGATCCTTCCTCTCCTCTCCTCGCCCAACCCCCCTTCTGTTTATCTAGTTTTACTTTTGGGACTGAAGCCCACAGCTGCCTTACTTAGCAAGGAGGAGCTCAAAGGAATCTCAACACCCAGGGTGACTTCTTCGTGGAACAAGCTGGGAAACCAAGGCCCAGGGAGTGAAAGTCATTTGCCTGTGTCCACAGCAGGTCAGGGCCGAGCCCGATGTCCCGACAGCACTCTGTGAAGTGTTCCTGCAGAGGGTACCCCTGACACACTCTCTTTGTTCACATTAGCCAAGAAATGCTACTTCCATTAGGAAGGCACGTCCAATGCAAACCACTCCAGAGATTGCATTTCAAAGATTGATAGACATGGCTTTTGCATTATCTGCTGTTTCAGATTAGCTATGCTGTGGCTTCATTCTTTCGGGGTGATATTGGGGATGAGAGGGCTGCGGGGCGGAGGTGGGGAGACAATTTTGAGTCCCTCTCGCAGGCCCCCAGCTCTAGCCTGTGAAGCTGGGTCTGAGCAGGACAGGGTGATCCATCCTATATTTTCAGTTCGTCAGGAGATTTCATTGTTTAAACAAACATTTCAGCGAAGCCATCCAGCTGGACAGTGATTTATGGCTCTGGCTACAGTTTTTCCCCAACAAAGATAAACAATCTTGCAACTCTTGAGACTGGGACTCCTGGTTCTAATAACTTGGAACTGGCTGGACCACGCCAGCCATTGCCTGGTCTGGGGTTTGGTTAGGATCTGTTCACACTGGTCCTGCGGCTGAGCCGCAAACCTTGGGGGACCGTGTTGTATTTGGAAGCTGGAACCATTGCCTCCAGGGCAGGGGAGAGTGGCAGAAAGGAGAAAAATGGCTCAGGGTTGGGGCTTCAGGCCCATCCCCCTCTTGCAGGGGGCAGCAATGGTCTGCATTCCACCAGGTAGCTATTTGGTGTTTGGGATCAACAGCTTCTCTTCTTCCTTCTTTTCGAAGAGTATGTTAGTTTCCTTCTGCTATGCTGGATTGTACCGTGCTTGTACAATTCCCTTGACCCTTGACCCTTGACCCTTGACTCCAGGTGTGGATATGAGCTCAGCCTGACCAATCGGAGCAGTGCATTCTAATAGCCATTGCAATTGATTAAGGGGGTGGGGGCCATCTAACCCAGTGAAAACCAGCAAAAGTAAGCAAAAGTTTGCTAAGGTGGTGGGAGAAAGGCGAGGGCTCTTTCCGTCTAGATTTGGACTGGAGCTGACGTGGGAGCAGCACCGGCCGTTAGAGCCACTGCCACCATCTTGCTTCCAAGGTAGAGGCCTGTCTGACAATGGAATGAAAACACAGGAAGGGAGGCAGAGGCTGGAGAGAGACAGCTCTTGGTGACAGCGCTGGAGCTCCTGAATGCATCCGGGTCTTTTTTATTTAGGGATTGGATATTCTTCCGTGTGTACCTGCAAAAGTAACCAACACCCACCAGCTGACAGAGTCAGGACGGCTAGGACAGGCATCTCCCTTAGTCTCCAATGAGCGTCCAGAGTCTGTGGCTTAGCAAGGGAACCGTGACTTCCTCATCGACAGTTGGTGTCATCCGGGCAGATGCCTGTACTGAGAAGCTTGTTTTCAGTTCAGTAGGTGAGGGGGAGTTACTGAACACTCTCGAGCAGGGATGGGTCCTCCCTGGAGTTGCTTTTCAGAGACTTCAGACAGAAGCAGGGAGAGGTTGAACACAGTATTAGGAGATAATGTTGACCCGTTCACAGGACAGGGAGAACACAAGCTTCTCTTCCTCCATATTTCAAGAAGGAAAGTTTCTGAAGCACAGCTTTAAGTTCAAAAGTCATGAAAGGTTGATGTATTTAACTGTATGAAAATGTTTTTCTGCATGGCACAAATGCCTTAAATAAAGTAAAAAAAAAAAAAATAAGGACAAAGTGGAAAGACATTTACTACCCAAATGACAGCAGGTTGTTTTCTTAACTATCTAAAAAGCTTATTTTGCAGAAAGAAAAGTAACAGCCAATGACAAAATATGCAAAAGGTGTGAGTAGAAATTTTATAGGAAAAATAATAGAAATGTTATTAAACATACAAAAAGATAATAGTGGTAACACTTATGCAGAGCCTATTAATTTATTGATGGTCTTGGGGACTGAACCCAGGAAGTGCTGAGCTATAGCCCCAGCCCTCTTCATTTTTATTTTAAAAATTTAAGACAGGGTCTTGCTAAGTTGCCCAGACTGGTTTTGAACTTGCAATCCTCCTGCCTCAGTCTCTCACAGTGCTGGGATTACAGGTGTGCACCACCATGCCCCGCTTAGAGGGCTTATCTTTAGCTACAAATTTAATTTTTACCATAATTGCATGATGAGCGTAGCTATTATTAGAATGCCATTTTACTGATGAGAGAAAAAACAGACCAGTTAAGCAAATTGCTGGAAGACACTGAACTAATAAGCAGTTGTGTTGGGGTTTGGACAATTAGGCAATTAGAGACCAATTTGCCCTCTCAAGGTCTTGCTGGGTTGGGGGTGTAGCTCAAGGTAGAGTGTCTGCCTAGCATGAAGCTCTGGGTTTCACCCTAAGCTCTAGGGGAAAAAATATCTCTTTTGTCAAGCACTTCTTGTTCAGCCATACCTATTTTAAAAGAAATTAAAGTGAAAACTGTATCCAAACATCATTCTTTAGATGTTTAGTTAGATAAATTTTTAGATGCTTAGTTAGATTGGCCAAGAGCAAAATGTTTGGTGAATGGTTGGTAAAACCGGGGAAGAAAACAACACTCGTGGCATTGGTGGGGGTGTGAATTGGCACACGTATTTTGGAGGGCAGTTTAACCCATCAAAAATTTAACTACATGTATGCTTTGACCTACCAACCCCATTTCTAGCATTTTTTCTGACAATACAATGGGAAATACATAGAACTTTTTTTGCAGTGTGTTTGTAAAAGTCTGGAAGCAAACTGAAGTGCCCATCTTTATGGACCTGGGTGTGTGGATCCTGGAAGAAATAGTTGGTAAGAAGATGAAGGAAAATCTCTAAGATGCATTGTTTAAGTAAAAAAGGTAAAGAATAGAATAAGGTATAGAGTGTGTCCTACCCAAATGCTTCTCCACCCATGCTGGCACAGGACAGTGACCTGGGTAGATGACAGCTGGATGCCTAGGTGAGGGATGAGAGTGAGTGAATTTTTTTAAACTGTGTATGCTTTGGTATCATTGAAGAACTTTTAAAATATGTTCAAGCATCA